ACATGTGGCCGTGCTGGCTGTGCCCGCAGGTGCCGGGCGCCATGGCCCCCCCCAAGGACATCATGACCAACTCGCACGCCAAGTCCATCCTCAACGCCATGAACGCCCTGCGGAAGAGCAACACGCTCTGCGACGTCACCCTCCGCGTGGAGCACAAGGACTTCCCGGCCCACCGCATCGTCCTGGCCGCCTGCAGCGACTACTTCTGCGCCATGTTCACCAGCGAGGTCGGTGCGCCCCGAGACCGCGGGCTGCCGCCACCCATGGGTGCCCTGTGGGTGGAGGAGGCAGGGCCGTCCAATGCTTGGGCTGCTCTCCATCAAGCTGATCAGCAGCTGGGCCTGGGTCCCCTCGTGGTGGCCCAGGATCCCCTCATGGTGATCCTGGAGCCCTCTGGATCCCCCCCATGGTGGCTGTGGATCCCCCCATGGTGGCTGTGGATCCCCCCATGGTGGCCCTGGGTCTCTCTGGGTCTCCTCGTGGTGGCTCTGGATCCCCCTATGGTGGCTCTGGGTCTCTCTGGATCCCTCCCCCCCATGGTGGCCCTGGATCCCCCCGTGGTGGCTCTGGGTGTCTCTGGAGCCCCTCATGGCGGCCCAGGATCCCCTCATGGTGGCCCTGGAGCCCTCTGGATCCTCTCCTGGTGGCTCAGGATCCCTTCGTGGTGATTCTGGGTCTCCTCATGGTGGCCCCACAGCATCATGGCACGGTGGGAGTTAGAGGCTGCAGTTGGGACCGTGGTCCTGAACCATTGCCTGCTGCGTGACCAGCCTGTGCACCAGCGAGCTGCCAGGCTGAGCTGGCAAACCAGAAGGCTCTGATACATTTATGGATTTTTCTAGTGGTGGTTTATGCTCTTCATGCTTCTCAGCATCTTTTTGGCCGAGGGTACCAGCCCTAGTGCAAAGCTGTGCAAGCCGTGGTGTGCGCCTTAGACCGGGTGGTGCATTAAGGCAGCCCTTTCAAACTGAAATGGAGGGTATTTAACTCCCGTTCTGGTTTCTGTTTGGCTGATCAGCTGGTACGTGTTGGGTTGTGCTGTTGCTCTTGCGAAGAGGATGTAGCCTCTAGCACTGGGGCTGAGGGGGGAGACTATAAATCCCCGTTGCTGTGCTCGGCAAATCTCGCTTGTGAGGACCTTTGCTCTCACAGTACTTACTGTATTGACTCACAATACCTGCATGCTGTTTTTTTGCAATCACTGGAAGGTAATATTTGAGCTAAAGCTATCATTCGTTCGTATTGTTAAATATGAGATGCTTTGCCTGGCTTTGTCTTTTATAAGTTTGAATCGGTCTTTGCGGCTTTTTCTTATAGAAGATGCTTTCCTTATCCTAGCAACTTCCCCATTAGCAGGCAGAAAAATGACTTAGTAGCTCAAAGGTCCTAAAGGCCTCCCTGCTAGCCCAGTAGTCCTTGCAGGAGAGAATCATTTTCTTCCTTGTTTTATCCAGCAATGAACACTGCTGGCAGAGCTGTCTGTGTGCCTACTTCTCTTTCTTTCAGCGCTGCGTCGGGTGAGCAGGTGTCTTAGTTTTTATAGTCCTGTACAAAGCAACCAAAAAAAGACATATGTGGACTGACCACACACCAATATATTTTCTGTCCATGTCTTCATGAAATTTGTAAATTTGTTAAGCTCATGCTCTTTCTCTGCATAAAGGAAATGTAATAAAAAAAAAAAAATACACAAAGCAAATAAGGTCCCTGGAGGCTGAAGTTCTCTGTTTACCAATAGCTTCAATGTAGACAGCATATAGCAGACTGCCTCTGCTTCTTTGTGTTTGCCTCTACGTTTCTGTCAATGCTTTTGGCTTCCTGGACTTTATCTAGGCAGTCTACAGAGATCCAATCACGCTGTGTGCTACAGAACATTCTTTGTGGCTGCTAACAAAGGCTGAGGATTGGCATACGTTGGATCTAAGCTGAGATCGTCTCTCCTTCCTTCTTTATACTCTCATTTTAACTGTAACGTTATAGTGACCCTAATTCATAGATGTAATTCTTCCTAGAAAAATAAGCATCCAGTGCCCAGTGGGCATGATTGCTCGATTCCTCATGCTCCCAAACTGCCGCTGCTTTGAGGGTTTTACTTGTTTTGCTTAGTTTGTATTTCTTCCAAATTTGCTTTTTCGTATGGAAACCCCAAGACGACAAACCTGCCAAGTGGCACACGCAATTACTGAGTGTTTGTGGGAGAGTGTTCTTTCCAGGAAACGACAGCTCGGTAAGCCTCAAAGTGGACCCGCTTCCTATGCGTCAGTGACGAGTACGTTGGTGAGCGCGAAGGGACAGCGTTTGGGTGCTCTCCAAGCACTTGTGGGTACGGAGTGTTTTGGCCATGGCTGTAACTTGAGGGAACTCCAAATACCAGATTGCATAATGGACTAGCAGTCTCTGCGAGGGCTTCCTTTGCATTTCATCGCTCGCCTCCTGCGAATTTGGGGGCTACTTGGCTAGCTGTAATGTGTGGCTTTTGTCAGACTCGGGCTACACAAGGCTTTGTTCAGAACTGATCCCTGGGTTATGCCCGCTGTCGTTCACGATGTTACGTCTGTGCGTGGCCAGCGTAGCACTGAGACTGCCATCAGAGATTATCATCATCAAGAACTGCGTTTGCCAGTCTCTGTGTCTCTAGTTCCCTTCCTTCTCTCACTTCTGACTTTAACATGTACTTGAAAAAGTTCTCAGTCTTACTTAGTTTTAATTTCTTCCCATTTTCTGTTCCCATTTTCCAGAATGAGGAGAAGCCACTGATCACCTGTTGAACCCGTGGCTTTTGACAACACTTTTCTCTGCCCCTGTGCCGAGTAGTGTGGGAAAACTGAAATGCCCATCAGTTTTACCTACAGGGTTCTTCCTTGTAGTGAAAATTGAAGAGCGATTTTAGCAAATGCTCCCCTGGATCCTAGTTTTGCACTGGCATTTCTGTCTCTGTTTGCACAAGTTAGCCTCACTCGGGGTGTGTGAAGAGCTGATCATTGGCTCCACCTCAGAAAGAAAGTAGTCTGTCTTCTCTTGGAGGGTATGTTCTAGAAATTGAAGGATTTTTCCCCCTAGAACATGGAGGAACATTCTTCTTATGCTGAAAATAAACAACTTCTGTTTCCAGGTTTTTACATGGTTATCCTCACTGCACGGCGAACGCCTTCCAGAATGCAGTGAGCCACATATTAGCGCTGTCATGTCAGCATTTCTTTTCCCCTATACATGAGAAGAAATTGGAGGGGTTTATTACAATAAACTTTTGTGTATCTGCGTTAGTGAAGACAAAAACAAGAAGTGGCCTTGGATAAGAAAGTGGTTCCAAAATTTTAGGCCCATTCTCCTGCAGAGTGAGCCGCATGATTTATGGATGGAATGGGAGACAGCAACATTATGTTTCACAACAGCTCTGACTGCAACCCCTGCCTTAAGGCTTTCAGCAGCTTAGGCATCCTGGGGTAAAACTCCTGATGTCTCCAAGTGACTCTCCTTAACTACAGGAATGTGTTTTCCTGGATGCTCCAGTTGATTTCTGGATCTGTACTGCTGCGTACTTTTTATGACGTGTTAGAAATGTGCTTGTATCGGGGAGTATCAATCCCTTACTGCTTTATTTCCCACTGGTTAGCAGAACTCTGATGTTAAACAACAAAGGGGAAAAATAACCTGAAACTCTAACAGCAGAGCTGCAGAGATCTGTCTTGTACCGATAAAAACCTCTGAAAGCAAAGCTGCTTGTACTGGGTTTTGATTAGCATCGTCTGACCATAATTTTGCATTGCTTCTGAGTCCAAATATGTGGAGGTATTGATAAACGAGGGGCTCTCGCTGCCCCGACAGCACCGCAGTAAGCGCTGCCTACAGTTCTCGCTGCACATGCAGTCTGGAGCTGCAGCTCCAGTCTTCATGGGATGTTCAGAATCAAGTTGTCTCCACTTTGAGATCCTTCTTTAAGGTATGATGCTAGGATCCCAAGTTATTCTGCATCATATACATTGTGTGAAGTTATTTGAAATGTTTTCTTCCTTCCAAGCAATCTTAGCGTGTGAGTAATCCGTGAGCCAAATAACAACCAAGTAGTGGAGTGTAGCAGAAGTCCAAGGGAATCAGAAGGGGATTGTCTCTGTAGTATGAGTGTTGTCCCCATGGTTTGTGTTTTGGTCAACAGTATAAAGAGAGCATGTGCATGGCCGTTATTGATTATTGAATATTGGTTGTGGGGACAGGAGCTTCTTTACCAGCTCCAGGCCGATCTGTGAAGAACAGATATCTGCAGCTTCTCCCTGAGGTGGTGTAATACGTTACCAGGAGGTCTGGTGCTCTTGTAATCTCCTGTCAACAGAAGTTGGTAACTTCTTATCCTCTTTCTTCTAAGTATGTATGGTCTACATCTCCATTTGCCTGTTGGAATCATATGAACATCTTGGCTGATCAGCTCTGACCTTTGGTGACATGTGTGTCCTTTTCCTGTTGTACCAAACAGCTGAGTCTTGCTTTGGGAATGTTGTGTCTAGCCCAAGGTAGGAACTCACTTTAGCTTCTAAATGCAATGCATGGCCTGTCATACAGCAGGTCAGACAAGGTAATTTGCTGTTCCTTTCTGACTCTGGATGCCATAAGGTTTGTTCACTGTGTCAACAGACTTGAAAGGCCTCTTCCCTCAAATTACTTCGAGTATCACCATGACCTCCTGTGTTTCTCGTCTCTACTGTGAAGTGTATCTGCATCACAGAAATGGCTCGGTCTCAGCAGAGACATCTCTTCCCTTCTGCTGCTGTGTCATCGAATGCCTCTGCAGGAATATCCTTGACTGCTCTTATTTTCCCTACTTCTGTATTACCTCCTTTTTCCCCAACTGTGGCAGGTCTAAGCCAAGCAATCGTGCTTTGATCATGCTTTCTATTCACTGAGTCTCTGCTCAATCTGTCTGTAACCAACCTCAGGCTCATTCTTGGCAAGAAAAGTCATGGGCTTTCATCTGAATCGTGCTTGCACTGATACTGACTACTTCTTCAAAAGTCAGGGATAAAAAGGGTGGGTTTGCAGCATGCTGGATGGAGACATCCTTCTGTTGAGGTCCCTTCATGCTGACGAGCTTGCAGCTATGTGCAGGGCGTGATTAGCGAGTCCACCTGCTAGCCCTTTGCTCATGAATCATCAGGTGCTGTGCCAGCAGCTTCGTGATGGGTGCATTGAACCACAAAGCTGATGCTTTGTGAAAAATAATCTCGGTTTTGTACCTACAAAGGTGCAAATTTGGTGGATTCACAGAATTTACTGTTCCCAAAGATTGACTGTTGAGAGGGTAACATTCCTTGGAAAAAATAGTTATTCCAAAATGATGTATCTTAGAGGTGATAAAATGGTCAGGGGACAAAGTCAGGATCGTGTAAGTATCATCACTGTATGTACTATTATTTTACTTTCAAATGTGTAAGCTAAACCTACATTTAACTTTTAACTCTGAACTTCGCTAAACCTACATTTAACCTTTAACTCTGAACTTCCTGGCCTATAAATAGTCATTCTTTTTAGGAACCTTCACCATAAGCTTGCAGAACAGATCAGGAATTGAACAGTTAAGAAAGATTTTTATTGGGTTTGATTTTAGAGCAGAGCGGTGAGGTGGGGACTCCGTGTCATACACATCCAGCCCAGGGAGGAATCCCCCTGGACTGTTCCTGGTAGCAAAGCTTGGAGTTACTGCGTGGAGGAGACAGCTTAGTTGGCTTGCACGAATGACGCATGTAACTTCTGCTATCTTTAATCTCAGCTTGCTCGTTTTACAATGCAGTTTGACTGTCCTCCCGATCCATAATGAACTTTGTCTCTTTTACTCAGCCTGTAAGTGAATTCTGTAGGGA